GGAGGAGGAGGAGAAGGAGGACGAGGAGGAGGATGCTGTGCTCGCACGGCCGCGCTCTCCAGTGCTACCAGGAGGAGGATGCAATGACGCTGATTGGAGCGGCCGCGCAGTCTGAGCGCCAGGCCGACACTGAAGGAAGGAGCGCCCCCCAGTGGGAGCCCCTCCGAGCCTGAGGGAGCCAATGCCACTCCACCGAAGACCACGGGGCAAGTGGCCAGGCGAGCAGCACAGGAGGGGGGCGGTCCTGCGTGAGGTAGTTGAAGCCCAGTGGGCGCGCGCGCGGGCGGGTGCGCGCGCGCGCGCGCCTGTCTCCACCAAGCTGAGACCGCCCGAGAAAAAGTAAAGAATTATGGCCAGCACCGCGGCGGCGCTAATTAAGTCGGACCCAGGACACGTCGGGATCCCCAACCTCCAGCGGCCTCGCAGCGACGCGGGTTTCCCTTCGTCCCCTTTGTGCCTGCCTTCCAAGAACGGCTTCAGATTCCTGGCAGCTCGAGCCGACAACTCATCAGGCATCACACTTTCTAGTGATAGTTTTTTATTCATTGTTTTGCCGATCGGCGCGGGCCCTCACACCCCCCCCCCGTGGAGTATAGATCTTGGCTGTCTTTTGACACCTGCTTCGAGCGGGTGTGGCCTCCCCCAGACGACGCACAGTCCCAAACAGTCGCACTAAGTAGAGGTTCGGAGCCAGACCCCCCCTCCCCCCACCTTCCGCCCCCAATGTCGAAACGCTGAAATAAAAAAAAACAACGCTCACCTAACAAGAGCAGGCCAGAGCAGCAAGAAGGGCCGCTTGACTTGGGCAGGTCTGCCTCGGACGCCTGCGCCTACACGTCGGCGCTTGAGATCCAAGACGGGCTGTGAGAACTCTGCCACCGCGAGCCGCAGTTCGCTGCTTGCAGCTCGTGAGCGCCCACTGGCGGTCTGGAGCGAAAGTGACCCTCGGACGAACAGAACGACAATCCGAGGAGGAAGAAGCGGTAGCAGCAGGACCGCTACCGGCGCGTCGCTTGCGTTGGCTAGCCACCATTGCAGACGGATCCCCGTCCTGGACAACGCCCGCCGACCTCGTCAAGGGTCCTCGTCCGCCCTCTTCCGCGTAAGCGAGCGAGGCATACGGCGGCGGATGATCATCAACGTGAGCCGAGCTGGTAAGGTCCAAGGCCGCCTCCCCAGAATGGGGACCCCCCGTTCACCCTTCGGAGGCGAGTCAGCGTCAGGCACAGGCGTAGTGGCCATGGCACGGGGACGTGCAGGGCAGGTGAGCAAGGAGAGTCGATCACGGGTCTTCTCAACTTTCGCCATCTCATACAACGGTTGCATGTCCAAGCAGTCCGCTTGGGGACTTGACCAAAAACGTGACGAAACTGGTGGTCGGGGGGTGGGCCAGCAGGGCCTGATTCCCGCAGCTCTCTCGCTTTCTTCTGACGCGGCTGAGTGGCGCACCTACCAGCTTCGATGTGAGTCCCACACACGGTGACCATCCACCGCAAGCAAAAGTATATATCCTTATGGGCTACCTTCAGCTTTCAAGGCAGAGGCAGGCGCGGCGTGCAGACCCCTACCTTGTGCGGCGGCACAATCCGCCCGTCTCTTGTCTCCGGCGAGCTCGCCAGGACCCCGTTGGTGGGCCGTGGCGTGCTCAGCTCTCAAGGTGTCCTGAAGGCCTCCTAGGTCCTGAATCTTGGCTTCAATGGCTTCCCACAAGTCCACGCTGATGCGACGGGAAAGACACCCCAGGCAGGGCCCATACGAAGTCCGTCGACAAGCCCTTTTTATGACGGTATTTCCTAAACTGGCAGGACACGATTTTGTAAAGCTGGCGCAGAACATCAAACACATCGGCCCTTGGGGAGGACTGTATGGGCCAGGCAAGGCTCCGTAAACGAATGTCTCTACAACTCTTCCCTGAATAACAGCAAAGCCCCATCCGGCACGAACACTCTCTGGCCAGCACTACACCTTCTTGCAGGCACCATCTGTGAAGATCGTTCCAGCGAGAAGGTCAACGTTCCCGCACTCCGCATGCCATTACGAAGTGCGGGCCCTGGGAGGCGCAGCTGGAAACCATGACCGCCCGACAAGGCCTTGGTCCCACATCCAAGCGCCTGGCTCACAAGCACGGAATCCTCGAAGGCCAACTCCGTCAACTGATGCTGTTCTTTCCTCCTCTTTGTGCGTGCATGCCCACATGACATGATGACCATCGCATGCAGTGGAAGGGCAGTGCGGGCACTGAGCAGCTTCACAGTACCCGCATTGAAAAGTCGATCTGGGGACCACATTCCGCCGCCAGAAATGGCACGACGAATCCCAACTTCACGCATATCATGAGCCCAGGGCCTGTAGGGAGCTGGAGGTTCTGGAGGGTCTTCGGGATCATCAGGTCGTTCTGAATCACCATCGGGGTCCCTTCGAGCATACGCCTGATAAAGCAGTCGCAAGACGGGCTCCATCCAGGACCCCAGGGGCTCTTTGGACTTCAAACGCTCACCCG